TGCCCCATCCAGCATCGGCGATCAGTTCATCTACTGGTCGCGAAAGCCTTTAAGAAAATCTGTCAGACTTGGACCGAACGGCATGGCCTAGAGGTCTAGACCATTGCCTAGCATTCGGGAGGACGCCGGTTCGATTCCGGGTCCGACTGCCTTGGTCCAAGTTTTTCTGTGGTTTCCTTGGATCACTTAGGCAAATGCTGAGGCAGTAATATTCCACAGATAATCTTTCATTCTCTTCTGTCTTCATTTCGTCCGTCTCATCTTTCTCATCCGAACCACCACCCACCCATTCCCACGATTCCTGAAAGCAGGCTGAAGAGGGCCCTCCGCCCTACCTTCCGGCATAGTCCGGAGGGACTGCCCGCCCACCAGCATTACAGGCTGGTGGGAATGAAACAGTTTTTTTTTGTCAGACTTGGTTCGCGATTTCGATCTATTTTCATAAATCATAATCATAGATGTAACGAAAACGACTCTACCAAAATTTTTATTTCTTGGAATTCTCTTTTGATAATTTTTTCGAAAAGCATTTCGCATTGCTAATTGAATGTGTAGATTCATCTGTCTGAAGTCGTCTTCTTCTTTTACAAATATCCTCTATATGTCATTCGGACACCTCAATCGGGATTATATGTCGAATGTTTGCGCTTCGAAACGGAGAAAACCTACGATAAATAAATACCGACACCGAAATACCAAATAATTTATGGCGTTTTTATTATCGAACCTTTAAAGTAATGGCATCATCATTACCACCGTTAAGACGTGTGTGTCTAAATACGGCGTACGTATCTATTTATTTCCCTTTTAAGTATACGCGCACCTGAAACTAACTAACCGACTATCTAATATCTACGGGATAATTTGTCGAAATGAATTACTACCGAAATTATAGAGGTGCCTGTACATGAGCATCCACGTCTTGGACTCGAACTAGCCGAAAAAGAGGATTAAGAAGGCCATGACGTATGTGTCGTCATTATTTTAACAGTATTAAGAGGTCGTTCGTATCAATTTACCGCACTTTTATTAATAACCTGTCAATGGAACGACGAAATATTTTATCGAGTCGTTTTTTTCGATGCCGAACTTTCACTCTGCTAGGCGACGAGTTTAAACTTTTCGGAAACCGCGCGCGGCTATAAAATAAATTAATTGAATAGGTAAATAAATTACAAAGAAATGTAGATATATGCAAAACCAATAGTAAGACTAAGACTAAGGCCAAGATCAAGTACGCAAGACTGAAAGAAAAATCATTACCTCCGCTGGATTTATACTCCAATTCCCGATATCCCTGGTACGTTCCTCTCCTTTCGTCGTCTACGTTTAAGTAATTTTTCTACATATACCTATCAACTAAAACATGAAATATTCACATTTAAAGTCGACCAGAAAACTTTTAAATTCCCACTAGTTACTAATGCTGTTGAGCGGGCAGTCCCTCCGGACTACGCCGGAAGGTAAGGCGGAAGGCCCTCTTCAGCCTCCTTTCAGGAATCGTGGGAATGCGTGGGTGGTGGTTCGGGGGAGATGGATAATATGGATTAAATGAAGACAGAAGAGAATGAAAGATGATCTGTGGAATATTACTGCCCCAGCATTTGCCTAATATGATCATTTAAACCTTTTACAAGTGCTTAAAATTGATGCTTCTTGCAGGGCACATATTTTAAATAGAAATTAAAAAATTAAAAAATGGCCTTCGACAGGTTTTAGAACAAAGCTTTATCTATCTTACTACAAAATTTGAAATCTCAGTTCCAAACATTAAACTCATGATATCTAGAACCGCTAAGCATGTTTTTACTCTACGGCGCGTGTACTATTGAATCCCTTTAATGTGTCGGCATCTTTTGAGTATGTACTGTACTATTAATTTTAATTGCGAATCCTCAAAAAATTGATTTTATTTTGATACATATTGGTTTTATTTTAGAACCTTAGAATGTATCTCTCATGATTCCATACTAATCATTATTCCACATCCATGATTTCTGTATTCGCGGCATATTTATGCAATGTATACCCCACGAATAAAGAGCTTTTACTCCAATGGCATGCGACACAATATTTTGGGCACGTCACTAATATCAATCATAAAGCCTAGTTCAAAATGGATCCAAAAATTTATTGAAACAAGAAAACTAATTGAAACAGGAAGATTGGCAGGTAATACAAGTGAAAATGCTAATAACAAAATTTTGGAAACATGAAATGCGTTACCAAACACTTTTAATTGTTTGAAGAAGCTGGCTTATGCTATTTTAACAATGTTTTTTCCTCAACCTATGCCTGCGAGTCATTATTTTCAGAGATGAATAACATTAAAAACTCGGTTAGAAATCGTTTGACAGATAACTCCAGTTCAGCATGCATTCTGCTAAAAGTAACATCTTACAACCCTAACATAAGTTATTTGTCATCTAATCTGCAACAACAAAAGTAACACTAATTTTACTTTAATTTAAATTACACGTATAATTTAAACATTGCAAAATGTTCCTATTTTTTTGTAGTAAACAAAAAAGTTTAAGTTGATATTATTTATTATTAGATATTATTTTCCCAATAATCACAGAGACAAAATTATTTGATGGCACGTCTACGATCTGATTAAACTTTTCTTTGTAAAAATGACACGTCGATACGTAAAGGTTCGCCATCCCTGCTCTAGGCCATGTCGCAAATAGTGACGCAAAAATACCGACTAAACTACAACAACCTGGGTATTAGGAGTAGACCTAAAAAGCATATCTATAGCTCAAGTCTTTTTAGTGAGACGTTTTAAAAGACAATATAAATTAAAAGCGCTCCTATATTTGCGCAACTCGCGTCTCCCACTGATCAATTTCCATTCAATTTAAATCGATCGAGATCGACGACGTCGGTCCTTCTCTCTCGATATTACTTACAGACAATAAAAAGTTCCGACCTGGCGCCTATATGTAATTGAATTACATAAAACAAATTTAATTGCAACGAAATAGCGTACACAAAAGCGACCCGCTACCGTGAAACCGACTACACCGCCACCGAAACAAAAGAAATATAAGCAAGAATCGACCACAACCGAAACAAGCGTTCATTGATTGATTGATTGATTGATTTGATTGATTGATCGATTTTCAAACAGGTACAAGAGCGCGTTGCATTTAAAAATCTACTTTAAGACATTTTAATAATTCTTAAAGAAATTACCGACACGTAGGCACAGGTTTCTTTCTTAACGCAGAATTGAAGTCTCTTTAGCAGCGCGTTCGTAATATTGAGTTTGTGAGACTGTTAATGTTAGGGGATTTTCATTGAAATCAGAAATCTTTCATTCATGAAATTCAAATTATTTTTAACTGAAAACCCCATGCCACAGCGATTTAATTGTTCAGAAAGAGACCAAAAACTAGACCCTTTTGCTGTGACAGTTAGTCCTAAGACTTGTTGGATACGCACCTCTACTGCATCCTAACAACCTGGGCTAATCTTAAAAAACTACCTTAAAACTAGAACATCCTACATCCTTTACTATTTAGGAACAGTAATCTAATGTTAGTCTACCTCTATTCTTCTTAACTCCTGTTTCTATTTCTAATATGTCTCTAAGTAGCCCTTCATGCCTCAAAATAATATTTCTCCCCGTCTCTATCCACGGTATCCTCATTTGTTCACAATAATTACACAGGTCTGCGAAATTTTTTTTTTTTGAAAAGTTTTTTTCTTAAAGTGTTAATATTTGTCGTAATTGTCTTAAAAGTAATAGAAAACGATATTCATATGGTTTATGCCACGTCACATTAACCCATAAATGCTCAGAGAACACATTTCCATTTGAACCCTTGCCACGTAATGAGTGCGACGAAAAAATATTTGATAACTAGTGTTTCTATGTTTTTCGATGGTGTTGGTTAAAAATACCTCCGACAATATTAAAGCATAGAAAAATCGAAAATAAGCAAAAAAAAACGTGATTTTTGAATTGATTTTTTTCTTAAAAAGTAATTTTTTGTGTCCTTACGACTTTTTTATATGTTTGAAACCTATATAAATCATGACCTCGATATCTAAACATGAAATAATCACCGTTGGTCAAGTCGAAATGCCATTACAAACTGTTTGATCAAACCAAGTTTAATGTAAAGTGGTGGAAGCAATACTTTTTCGGGATCATTCAAACTCGTATTAATTGACATTTTTCACTCCGACTTCCAATTGCATTCTAATTTGGACATAGAAATACCGAATAACAATGATTTTGATTTACCATAAGTCCACTGTCTTACACTTCAATACATAACCGGCATATTTTATCCTAACCCAGTGTTTATTTTGGTGACACAACTTCGTTTTGCAATAAACTTTATAAGCATTTTTTACGAAGTTTGTTATATTCAGTCTTTGCTTAACTATTGTATATTGTCTGCAAATGTAAAAAAATTACATTTGAATTGTTTTAACAACTCCGAGAAGCCATAGTTAAAGATAAATGAAACACAATCTTTTATTACACGTTAATATTCTCTCTCAATAATGGCGCGCTATAAACTATTTTTTTTTTTCAGGCGGTGTAAATGACTATAGTTAGGTACTTTCAGACTATCTAAAATAAAGTAAAAGACAATATAATGCTCAGTTAGAGAGTATTAAATAGAAATAAAGATATAAAATGAGTTTTGTGAAAAAACGAATAAATTGGCCGATTCAAAGAGCCATATATATATACATATATTAATCTACATACAAAAAAAAATGTGACGTGATACGTTAAAACAAAATTTATATTTGCAAATTATAGACCAACATTTACACGCTTAAGATAAATTTATACGAAAAACTTTTTTATCGCGGACCTGTGTTACTGTATAACAAACTGAAATTCCAATAATTACTTTGACACAGCGAATTAAAGTGTTAAAAAATGACTAGTCATTCAGGACCCATGCAAACGTCAGTGACGATGCGTGATCAAAACGATGCACTCATCCCGTATGTTCCTTTTGTTTCAGGTGAAGGTGTGGTTCCAGAACCGCAGAACAAAACACAAACGGATGCAACAGGAAGAAGAGGCCAAAACGAACCAGGGTGGCAACAAATCGAACAGCAATCAGAACAACAACCAGAACAACCAACATCACGTAACGAAATGGAAACAGGAAACGGGAGAGGACGGCCAATACGGCGAGTACATCGACATGGAAATGGACGATGAGTGCGTCAGTGACGTCGAGAGCGAAACGTGAACAACAAAAAACGAAATTCCTGTGACGCAATCGCAAATAAGTTAAAAAGCAAACACAAACAAGTAAAATTCGAGTTAATATTTTATGTGTCAAGTTTTTGTGCCAAAATCTCGTGCCAATTCCGTGAGACTGATGATAAAAATGCAGCGCCGTCGGTAGATGAACAAGACGAAGAAGAAGACGATGATAAGTCCCAGTGTGTAATATATAGTCTTAAAACAAAAAGAAATGATGAAAGGAAGGTCGTATATATAATAGAGATTTATTTATTTCTGTAAATACCTATGTAACTGAATTGGATGCATGCGAATGTACAGGGTGTCTCAAAATTGTGTTGGTCTAACAACAATTGATCCAGTTTTAATCCTATTTAAATTTTGAAAAAATTGCCTATTACAAGGCATTTCCAGTGATTGTAACATCCGAACTGTAGATAACAAAATTTGACCAGTATAAATTTTTGTTATTATAAATTTAATAATGAAATTAATTGATGTTAGCAGAATCTACTAATTGGCTTATATTTTACACAAAATTTTAAAAATTTCGTTGATATAATTAGCAATTAATTATCAAAGCCATTATGAAATTAAATTAACGTAAATTAAAACAGGTTATAAAACGTTCAACGGGATAATAAATTTTGATTATTTTTAAAATATTTATGCAATTTTCAATTAACCATAGATTTGTATAAAATGATCTACTTTTTGTTATTCTTAAAAAGGGTCAAAATTCCAAATGCACTAAAGAGTATTTTTTATAAACCCTT